CACACACACACACACACACACACACACACATCTTTTTAAACCACCAAAAATATCTCAGCAGTAAGAAAATACTTTACTCCTTACCTGACATTCCATCCATAATAATGCACCAAGTACAAAACTTCCCCATCATCAATTTCAGTGCTTTTAATGCTAGCTTCATAAATTTTCTGAGTTTTTCCTCGTCCATACTTTACTTTCACTTTGGTTCCTGTCAGGCAGGGCTCCGTGTCGTCCTCATCTTCCTCTCCTTCTGAGTCACATTTGCTCTCAGTTTCTTCCCTGCAGTAAATTACAACATTGGTAATGCTACTAATAATTTAATGAAGAACCAAATAGTAAATGCTAAAAGAATCCAACGTGTGGAGTATTTACAACCTAAGCATCACAGTAATAACATGTCAGTGGAGGAGGAGAAGAAGGAGGAGAAGGAGAAGATTTTTATGGACTACTTACTAAGGAATTTTTTATGTAAAGGTGCATTGTACAAAGGTAAACCCGTACTTCTTGAGGCCAATCAATAATCACAGTTGATGATGCAGAATCAAATAAATCACTTTTAAATCAATGAAATAAAAACCATATGCTGTACAAAGGTCCTTGGGACTCATATAAGTGCCACCTTACATGTGAAAATGACCTGAAGGTATTTTGTAACTTCCTACAACTAATTATCATAAATCTACTTTACCACTACTTTCTAGTAGTTGTTTGGTAGGCTACCTTGTTTCAGTAACTGAGTCCTTTATACTACTTATGGTTTAAGTACTAGGCCACTTGTTGAAACTACAGAACAGTACTAGAGGGACACACACTGTGTAAATTGTGTGTAGCTTTGTATTTCTATTTGTAACTGTTCTCCCAGCAGCTTTCCTTTGGCTTGATAATTAGCCATACAGGAAATTCATATGAGAAGTCCAACAATACTTAAAAAGTTGAACCACAAGCCAGTCTTTGAACGCTGTAAGGTTCAGAAAAGAACTGCCTCAAAAATGATTCAAGCTTTCTAAGAGTTTAAGGAGAGGTCCAATGCTACACAGTAAGTACAGGGAATCATTCTACTAGCCACTGGGGACACGACAAAGCTTTGGTAGCTCATTTACAATGGGAATATTTGCTCTCCAAGGATACCTGTCATAAATACCCTGAAGAAACCATTTCAAAACATTAGGAATAAAACTACTTAAAATAGAAATCTCCACAAAGTCTTCCCATCTCCATCATTTCTGACATGGAATGAGAATATATACTGTTTGCTATCTGTATATATTTAGTTTTTATTTAATAGAACACTATCCTTCACATTGAAGACTGATTTTTAAAAAAAAAATTTTTAATGTGTATGAGTATTTTGCCTACATATATGTAGGTGTACCACATACATGCCTGCTGCCCAGGGAAGCCAGAAGAAGGCACCAGATTCCCCAGAACTGGAGTTACAGATGGTTGTTGGTCACCATCTGGGTGCTAGGAACTGAACCTGGGTCCTCTGCAGGAGGCAAGTGATCTTATCCACTGAGCCATTTCTCCAGCCTTGAAGACTGAATTTTTTAATCTAAAATATTTGTTCCATTTATATGTCAAATATGAAGCATTTTTTTTAACATGCACTATATATAGATTCATTATAATAATTAGACTCTAATTCTTAAATAGTTCACCTTTACTTAAATTTGTTGTCTAAATATTTAAAATACTATACTCATTAAACTCAAATCCAATTATTTGCTCCTACCTTTCTTAATCCTAATTATATTTCACCACAGAACTTTATTTTAAACTAAACTACTTCTCATATAATTGTGACAGCTCCTGTGTCTACTCACATTGAGTCAAATAACTCTCCCACTCACCAATTACTCCCATTTTTCTAAATATTTAATCTCCCTATGGTTTATTTTCAGATAGTGTCAGCCACCGGTTGGATGCAGCATGCCACTTTCCCCAAATTTGGCTTACCATCTCCAACTTCCAGAACATTTGGCATTATGCAATAAAATGACTGAAAAATAACTGGAGAAGAGCCTCCATTTCTAGTAGTGTGTCACAATATTGTTCATGTAATTTCTTTTTTTTTTTTAGTAATGTCTAAAACTTAGTAAATCCACTTGATCACATGTACAGATGGCCAACTACACAGCACGTCAGACATCACCTTCATCTGGCTGCACTGCCTAATTTTGGGCTATTTTTAAGTCACTTCAGTCCATGCAAGTCTAATACATGGGGAAAAAAATACAGTTTTCACTCAACAGCAAATATAATGGGAATTTAAAAAGCTAGAATTTACTGATGAGATGTGGGGCAAGAATATATTTTCCAAACTAAAATCAGGGTTGCATGCCACTTATTCTAATACAATAACTTGAAAAAGAAAAATGTCTTAAATAAAGCTAACACACAGAAACACCTGCTAGTACTGTGCTCCCATGTGTTTGTTAGCTTTCCCACATTGTACCTTTTTTAAAATGGAATTTTTGCTGTCGCTGTTTCCTCTTGTCCACTTCCTCCATTTTTCTCCAGCTCCCTTCCCTGCTGTCAACTGCAGGACCTTTCTTTTGACTGGGTGGCGCAGCCTTCTTTGAGGCCACTGTTTAGGGCACAAGTGCTATTAAAATGGTGCGACCAGTATATGCTCCAATTCCGAAAGGCGATACACATCATCTTCACAATGTGTCTCACCTTCATTAGACAAGAGGAATGGAAGTCCCAATAAGAAGATATTCCCTCAAACCTGAATCCCTAAGCAGGAACAAAGCATTGCCGTACCCCACACAGGAGCTTCTGGAGAACGAACGTAAGCTAATGTACCTCTCTTGGTTCTTCTCTTCCTCTTCGTCTGAGTCTTTATCAGAATCCTCTTGCTTTTTAATTCTCTTCTCTTTTGGCTTTGGTGTACTTTTTCTTCCCAGTAGTAGCTCATTTTCTTTTTTCTCTGAAGTTTCATAGTCATCATCGATATCCTTATTTTCTGTATCATCTTTTAATTTGTCTTCTATTTTCTCTTCTTCAATTTCCTTTTTAATAGAATTTGCATCTCGAACAAGTCTCCTTCGTCCCTGGTAGAAGGGATAAAAGTTTTAAGAGACCTAACACTAAAGAGAGAAAAAGCAGAAAACAGACCTTTACCACTTTCCCTTTAGCCCTCACAGCAATGACTAGGTAAGATGCTGAAAAGAAGTCAGCTCATATGCACTATCTTTTCCTTTTAAAAGAGTAATCAATATAAATCTCTTAATTACATCGAAAGCTACCATGTTTCCTATTCCTGGATACATACTATACAAGGAATTGTTTTTTTCTTCTAGGGCTGGGAGTGCAGCTCAGGGGTAGAGATAGCACAAACTTAGCAAGTAGAAAGCCCTGGTTTACTCCCTAGCACCCCACAACCCCAACACAATCTTTGTTCACTACATTACTTTATTCCACTTTTGTTTGCTTGTCAGTGCTGGTGCTTTGCACATGGCAAACCAGTGCTCTACCAAAGGCTAAATTTCCAGCCCTGTCCCACTGTTCATATCTATCAACTATCATAAAAACTTTAAATAAATTATCTACATGCTGATAATAAAAGTTACTAATAAGGCGAAGCAGCACACACCTTTGATCCCAGCATTTGGGAGGCAGAGACAGACAGGTCTCATGAGATTGAGGCCAGCCTTGGTCTACATAGTGATTTTTAGGCCATCTGTGGCTACATAAAGACCCTATCTCAAAAAGACCAAAAAAAAAAAAAAAAGATTACTAATAATAATCTTGGCCTGGCAAGATGGCTCAGTGGTTATACACTTGCTGCTAAGCCTGGATGATTTCAGTTCAATCCCTGGAACCTACATGGTAGAAAGAGAAAACTGATTGCCACAAACTGTCCTCTGTGACAGACAGACAGACAGACACACACACACACAAGAAAAAAATTTAAGTTACTAATAACTTAATAAATCAATACCCTAACTTACGGCCTCTCTGAAGGTTCTGTGATCTCCAACCTTACAGTTTATTAACTTCCCCTCTACTTGGTATATGAGAAAGATTAAAAGGAAAACAACAAAAAAAGATAAAAGAAAAAATAAAATTAAAAAAGTAAGGATCCATGGAGATGGCTCAGTGGTTAAGAGCACTTGCACAAGCAAGAGGACCTCAGTTCAAATCTCCAGCACCTGTATACAAAAAGCTAGGAGTGGCCACACACATAACCTGTCACCCCAGATCTGGGTAGCAGGGGAAAGGACAGGATCACTGGGGCTTGCTGACTCCAGTCTACCTCCAGGCTTAGTGAGAGACCCTGTCTCAAGGGATGAAGGCAGAGTGATGAAGAAGGATACCCAACAGACCCCCATTAGCACATACCACCACAAAGAACCAGACACACACACCACCACCACCACCACATAGAAACAGTAGAGCAAGGCATGATGGCTTGCACCTGTAATGCCAACGGTTAGAAGATAGAGGTAGGAAGATCAGAAGTTCAAAGTCATCTACAGTACAAAGTGAGTTTCAGGCCAGTCTGGGTTATATGAGACCTTTTCTTAAAATAAAATAAAATAAATAATAGAAACTTTAAAAGAAAAAAAATTTAATTTACACATTTTATGAAATTCACAGAAAGAGTACACTTAGATGACAGACAGAATGGTCAATTTAAAAATAGGATTTCTCACTGGGCATGGTGGTGCACACCTTTAGTCCCAGTACTTGGGAGGCAGAGGCAGGCCTGGTCCCACATAGTGAGTTTCAGGCCAGCTAGTGCAAAAAAACAAAAAAACAAAAAAACAAAAAAAAAAAGGATTTCTGAACAACTACAAGAAAAGGTAATTTCACCTTTTCTTTCATTAAATATGACTTCATATACAAATAAGACAAACTACAGAACTGAAATTCCTAATGGTGTGAAACCCCTAAAATATGATTAATCCTGCTATGGAGCCATCATTGGACATGGATAAGAACTTAGGTATCAATGGAGGGAATCACAAAGCTGGAGGATGGAACCAATACATATATGACAACTTGTACAATGTGCTCCTAGACTTACAGGAAAGACAACAGGGTGGTGGCATAGGAATTATCAAGGGGCAATTCATTTAACAACTATTTAACAAGCACATTCTGCATGGTATGTGCTAGGCACTATTTTATAAGTCTGGGACCTTGTCAATGAGCAAAATAAATGCTCATCCTTGCCTTCAATGGGTACAGCTCTAGTACAGAGTGTGGCAAAAAGACACAAGTAATTCAGAGAATACCTAGGTACATTTCAAATAAGAACAGCATCAGAGGGAATGAGTGTGCCAAAGAAAGGGGGCAGGTAGCAAAGGGGTGGCATTTTAGCACAAAACTTGAATAGTATGTGACACTGAACCAGATGAAACAAAAGAGGGGTAGTGGATTTTATAGTTTTTTTGGGGGGGGAGAGTGTTCTTTTGTGTGATTTTCTCTTCCTTCCTTCCTTCCTTCCTTCCTTCCTTCCTTCCTTCCTTCCTTCCCTCCCTCCCTCCCTCCCTCTCTCTCTTTCTTTCTTATGTGTATGAGTGTTTTGCCTGCATGTATGAAAGGACACCACATGCACACTATACCTGCACAGAAGGTGATAGTTAGGAAGGTTGCTAGCCACCATGTGAATGCTGGGAACCCAAATCTGGGTCCTCTGCAAGGGCAGCCAGGACTCTTAAACAGCTGCACCATCTCTTTTTTGAGACAGAGTCTCATGCTGTGCCCCAAGCCCGCACGGACCACATTATGTAGCCCAGGTTGAACTTATGGTAAGCCCCCTGCTTTAGCATCTGGAGTGCTATGATTACAGACAAAGGCCACCATGCTTGGTAAGGACGAGCTCTCAAGTGCAGGAAACAGTAGATGATGCACTCAGAGAAAAGTAGCTGAGCTAGTCTGCACAGCTATAGGAAAACAAGCTAGGTTCAACTGTGTTTGTATGAAAATGCTTAGAAAAATTTCCTTAACTAGTGCTTAAACCAGACAAAACTATTACTAAATACTCACTCTTGGAGATTTTAATTCTATCTCTTCTCTTTCGCTTTCACTGTTTGAGTCAATATTTTCCTCAGGTTCACTCTTCACTTCTATTAAAGGCATTTCTTGATCTACTTTTAGAGTTTCTTCCATTGATTCTTCTAAGTCTTTTTTTTCCACTTTTACTTTTGGTTCATGGTGGTGAATAGTTCTGAATTGAATATTTGCAGAACGGCAGTATTCCTCAAAACCATAGAGATACCTAAACAAACAATATTTCATTTTAAGAAATCTTAATCTTTGCAGTAACTTGAATACTAGGTAAATAAATAGTAAAACCCAAGCCATTTTTTTTTAAAAAGTACTCTTTGTATATTACTAATTTCTGGATGCATTCGATACAACTATAAACAGAAATACCAATCATGAAACAAAATGTTAGCCTGAGAAAGCTGAGCTTGTAACAATGGAATACAGTTATGACAGCGGATAGGAGATCATGACAGCAGATAGGGAGACTGCTGACCCCAGGGCAGTCTGCTCTACAACACCTATCCTAATGCAGACTCAAGCACTACCTGCATCCCTGATTTTAGAGAGGAAATCAGTTAATGAAGGAAAGTAGGCTACAAACTCTGCAATTCCTTTTAATCACAAGCACCACTAGCCTATACTTTATGCTCCTTGATTGATCCATTCTTGTTTTGTTAACACATTAAAAGGAGAATATTCCCTGCAAATATTTATTCTTTAATGAAGCTATACTACTTACTTTCTATAAGCAGTTTTTACATTGTAGGAAGCAGCTGAATTCAAAATTGGAATGCCAAGGTCCATATAAATTTGCTTCCATACAGCACCACTATCAATCTGGAAAATTTAAGTTTTTGTTAACATTTGCAAAGGGAAATAATCTTTATACTAGCATTCTATGTTCTTTAACAAAATATATATATATATATATATATATATATAATCAATTATGTATATGCATATATATAATAACTTTTTTGGAGATGGTCTCACTATGTATCTCTGGCTGGCCTGGAACTTGATATATAGACCAGGCTTTAATATCAGAAGGTAAAAAGTGTTTATTCAAATGAAAAATACAAATCCTAATTCAGCAAAAATCCATTAACTAAAGGTATATATTTAAAAGACTTTAAATCATATAAAATACACAAAATATTCTCTTTTTTTGGTCTTTTTGAGACAGGGTCTCCTGTAGCCCCAGCTGACCTGGAACTCACTATGTAGACCAGGCTGGCCCTGAAGTTACAGAGATATGCCTGCTTCTGCCTCCTGAGTGACGGAATTAAAGGTGTGTGCCACCAGGCTTAGCTGTTCTTTATATAATAAAGTTACTTCTCTGCCAATGATATGACTAAAACTAAATGAAATTCTGAGGCTGGGAGGTGCGGCCAACACGGAAAGGCTTCTTGTTGCTGTTAGCAGTTTTCTGCAGAATGACTCCTCGAAGCCACAGAATTTCTGGGGCCAATTCACCTGAGGATTTTCTAGGACTGAAGAATTTCAAAGAGTGTGATGATTATTCTAGTTCTCCTACCTCTATTAGAAATCTACCCAACTCAGAAAGAGATCAGTCTTCATTATGCTTAGTTTGAGGAGACCCGGGATCAGGTTAGTTTAATTGTCATAAGTATAGCGTGACTATTGTAATAAATAGTATGAGGTTAACACTGTGATTGGGTACTTTCTATTTCTGTTCATTATAGTTTATAAGTTCCACCGAGACCAAATTTAATTGTATAAATACTGATTTCCTATGTATTTCTACTCAGAATAGATACTATTTGTTATTCCATTCAGGTGTTACTGATTCTTAGGTTTTCATCAGAATACAAGGCACTAACAAAAAACAAGGTATACTTTTTTTTTTTTGGTCTTTTTAAGACAGGGTTGCCCTGTAGCCCCAGCTGTCCTAGAACTCACTAAAACAAGGTATACTTTTAAAACAGAAAATTACAAAGGTAACATACCTCTGTCTTCCATAAACTTATACAGCTGTTGGAGGAAATTGTCCCTCTCTTCAGGATCAAGTTCTTCCTCAGGCTAAAAGGAGAAATAGGAAAAGACCCAATGTCATCTTTTGTTCTTGAGAACCTAATAGTACAAGGTCAGAATTTAATGTTTTGGCCTTTTTGCTGTTTTGGAGATCACACTCAAGGCCTTAAAAAATGCTAGGCAAATGGTCCACCACTGAGTTCCATCCCCAGCCCTTAAGTCACATTTTGATAAAAATGGTCTGATCAACTGTGAGATATAACCTCTCCCCTCATCCCACTTACCACTCTAACTGTGCCTTTGAGTAGCATCCTAAGGCCTAAGAGTAGACAAGAGGAAAAGACTCAGGAATGGGGTGAGAATACTGTTTTTACTTCATTTGGGTTTCATTTGAAAAAAAAAAAAAGTAATGTGGTCCATACAAATATTCTGACAGATAAGCACAACAATGATATTTTTGTATAAAAATAATATTGTGGAATGAATATAAACAAAGTTTGTAAAATCAGAGTGGCAAAGGTTTTTGTTTGGATGAGACAATAATTTTTTTATAAAAATATGATTTGCATTTAAGTGAATCAAATAAATTCCATTTTGACCTTCTTGGTCCACTAGTCTGCTTTTCTCAACTGCTTTTCTTATATGGCCTCTGCATTTGACATTGCAACCATTTAAAGAAGGCATGTCCAACCTGCAGCCTACCAACCACATGCATCCTAGGAGAGCTATGAAAGTGGCCAAACACACCTGTAGATGTCACCATGCCACAGAATCAAAAGGGTACACACAACAGCTTTAAAGTAAGGCAGAAAGAATTGCTTCATAGCAAAGAAACTAGGAAATAATTCATACACACACACACACACACACACACACACATATGGAAATATCTGTTAAAAAAACTTCCTTAAACCACCTATTTAAGGACTCTTTTTGACTAATTATATAAATCTAATAACCTCTACCTATTATGTTATTATGGATTTAAACAGACTATTTTCTTGATAGACTATCAATAAATTTTTATGATTTTTTTGTTGTTATTTTGTTTTGTTTTTGAGACAGGGTCTTCTTGCAGTCCTAGCTGGCCTGGAACTCATTATGTAGACCAGGCTGGCCTCATTCTCACAAGAGATCAGCCTGCCTCTGCCTCCTAGGTACAGTGCTGGGATTAAAGGTGTGGGCCACCAAGCCCAACTTGGGGTTTTGTTTTTTGAGACAGTCTCTTGTAGCTCAGTCTGGCCTCCAACTCACTCATAGCTGAGGATGACCTTCAACTCCCAATCCGCCTGTCTTTACCTCCCAAGTGTTCCACCATGCTAAATATATAAAAAGTCCTTAAAGTTCAGCAGTACTATGGATAAATTCACAAAACATTAAAGTTTCTTTCATATAAAGAACCCAATAGAGGGATGTTTTTGGAAGCCCTTGTCAAGAAACTCCAATGGACTCTCATACGAACTTCTGAGAATTTCTCTGTTCTGACTTTTTTCTAGTTCCCTGTCTAGAACTTGTAATGCTAATTACTCTTCCTTTACTTCTCCTTCACAGCTCTTCTATTCATGATTCAAGGACTTTCTTTTCTCCTTAGAGATAAGAGTTATGCAACCTGGGAGTCTTTTAGATAGTCCCACTGAAGGGGTACTCCAATTGCCTCACCCTGCATCCCTGTTCAGCATGGAAGAAAGAAGCCAGGGCGGTCCGCGTCCCTATTGGCAATTTGGGTGACCTCTTCAGAGGATGGTGTGATAAGAATAGGAGGTAGGAACTGACTAGGCAGTTAGAGTAAAAAGACCCCAAAGAAAAGTAGGCAGTTTCTTGGCTAAAAGTCAAAATGTCCTTGGGCCTCTTAGCAACATACTCTGTTTCAAAGGCCAAAAATGTCAAAAGTATTTGGGAGCTTGTATCTAATCCTTAAAAGATTTTAGGGTTACCTCTTCAGAGGGGGGAATGTTGGAGGGAGGAGGGAGTGGGCATGGATTTGATCAAAACACCTTATATGCATGTATGAAATTCTCAATAAAGTTTTTGTAAAAATTTTTTTAAAAGTTTCTTCCATATAAATACCCATAAATTAATTTTTGAGTATTATTTTTCTATGTTCTAAGAATTCAGGTTTTTTTGTCTTCTGAGTTCAAGGCCAGCTTGGTTTACATAGTGAGTTCCAGTCCAGCTGGGGCTACAGGGAGAACCTGTCTCAAAACAACCAAAACAAAACAAAACAAAACAAAAATCCCACATTCAAACAAAAAGCAATTTTCAGGCAATAAATATTGATTGTGCAGTGTCCAAAGGGCAACAGGCACTTTAGCTGTTAGCTGCCATGTGGGTGCTGGGATTCGAACCTGGGTCTTCTGCAAGAACAACCAGTGTTCTTAACCACTGAGCCATCTCTCCAGCACCCTATCCTTTCAGAATTTTAACAGCTAATAGTATAGCCAGACTAGATGAACATGTAGTCAATTAAAACATATAATAATAATCCAGGAGGTGATAGATGGAAAGGGAGTAATTCTTTAAAGAAGCACTGATTTCAAATCAAAGTTGCTTACCAACACAAGAAAAGGAACCAATTACAAACAGGGCAGACAATAAGGTTGTCTCTATGGCAAATTCTTCATGATAGAATACACATTTTTAATAGATGAAAGCTGGGGCTCGAGAGATGGCTCAGTGGTTAAGAACATGGACTGCTTTTACAGAGGATCTGGGTTTGATTCCCAGTATCCACATGGTGGCTAAGTATCTATAACTACAGTTCCAGGGTATCCAAGACCTTCTTCTGACCTCTGTGGGCATTGCACAACATGGGTACACTTATACACATACAGGCAATACGCTCATATACATAAAATAAAAATGAATAAAATATTTTTTAAAAAGATTAAAGCTGACAGCTTAAAGGCACTGAGTGAGTAGCTAATAAAGAATACTTTAGGCTCTGTGAGGAACTATGTCATGAAATTGTAAAAACAATAAAAATGAACAAAGAATTCTATTTACCTACCTGCTAGAGGGGAAATTTCCTCCCCAAAATGAATAAATTAGCAAGCTATAAACTTTTAAATTTACCTGATGGTTTCTGCAAAGATTAAAATTGTTTGATAAGTAATTCTTCATAATTTATTTTTGCAGGAAGAGGGAGGCGGGTTGGCTGGCGTGGCTGTCACTATGTAGACTAAGATCACCTCAATCTCACAGAGATCAGAGATCAGCCTGCCTCTGCTTCCTGAGTGCTGGAATTAAAGGTGTGTACCACCATGCCCAGCTTAGAATTTTTTAGTAGGTGTGTTGCTAGTCCTCTAGTAAAGTTCCATATGCTAGAAAATGCCTCTTGTATAGAATTTGGATTTGCTACTGAGGTTTGCTTTCTCTCTCCATACATTTTCATACCTACAGCACTTTTCTCCCAAAGAGAGCCAGAGGCTGTTGCATGTCTCAAGGGTTGAAGAGTGGGAAAGGACAATAAGAAGGGGAGGCAGAGGATTCACTAAACTGTGTGGAGAAGGCTTCTTCTTTTCATTTAATGAAGCATTTGAAAAGAGCAGCTTGACAATAAAAATGCCAGAGCATGTGGAAGATAGTTTTAAGGACACAGAATATGTACATGATTATATTGTCAAGAAATTTATCATTTAGTCAGTATTACAATATTCTCCCTAGTATTATACTAGTCTACCAAGGATTATAGGTAGTTGCTTATCTATATTAGATTGGGACTTTTCTGACTTCAGATAATTATGTCTTCAAATTAAGTTCAAATCTTTATTATCAGTTACAGTATAACTCAGGAGCTATGCAAAAGCACTAAAGATTACAATGAGATCACATGGTACCATCATCTATTTTTGCTGTTTTGACTCTAGCAAGTGGTATAGACAGGTAAAACAAGCCAACACCATACAATGTGCTAAGTGCAAAATACAGGAACAAGTGACAAGAATGAATAGTTTTGCTGCAGATGGAGTGACCCTGGTAAGGAAAGCCTGAAAATGTAGTTGATAGTCCTGGAGCGACAGCAGACAGCGTAAGAATGGGACTGACAAAGGTAAACTGGGATTAGGAAGGGATTTTGTTATAATATGCTCAATAAGCCAAACTCAATACTGTGGTAGAAATGAGGTTTAAGCATGCTAAAAAAGAATTAGTGCTTTAAAGTTGTCAGCCAGGAATGAGACTAATGAACTGGAAAGGAAAAGGGAGCCACTGTAGCAGTCCATGGGGAGGAGCAGGACTCCCTTAGGCTGCACTCAGTGAGGGAATGATGACTCCTGCCCTGGAAGAGGAAAAAGGAAAGAGCAAGAGAGGGGTTCTGTTTGTTTGGCTTTTAGTTTCAAGTCTTATCTTTGTTGAGAGTGCACAAAATTCCAACGTTATCAAAGTGCTTAGTAGGTCTATGCCCTTCGGAAATGCCTATCTCGCTCGCTCTTTTTTTTTTTTTTTTCCAGACAGAGTCTCACTATGTAGCCCTAGCTGGCCTAGAACTTATCATGTAGACCAGGCTGGCCTCAAACTTACAGAGATCAGACTGCTTCTGCCTCCCAAGTGTTAGAATTAAAGTTATGCACCATGTACCACCAAACTTGATCTGTATTCATATTTTAATCACTAATGACTGACCTATAGTTTGGAAGAGCATTATGTGAATGAAAATGATATCTTGCAAAGGAATTAAGAAGTTTCTTCCTTGTTTCAGACTTGCTGCTGAAATGAATACTATGTACGCAACTGGAGTGATAAAATTCACAGAGGAGTATGGAAGAACAGCTCAAGATGTTACAAAATTCCCTTACTCGCATTCACCTTACCCTTCACAAATATGTCTGGAAAAAAATGATTATTCATTCAGAAACAGCACAAATTCAGGTGACCAAGGGACTTTCTACCACTTTACTTATTTCTCTCTCTCTCTCTCTTTTTTTTTTTTTTTTTTTTTTTGAAAAAGGGCCCCCCTGTACCCCCAGTTGGCCTAGAACTTGCTATGTAGGCCAGGCTGGCCTCAAACTCACAGAGATCCACCTGCCTCTGCCTCTGAGTGCTGGGATTAA